AGCATGCCTGTTTCAGTTTTTTTTTCTTGGCTCTTCATGCATAATCTAATATAAAAATCAAACTTGATTCCTAAATCAAAACTCTTCGCTTCGCAAGTATTTTCTGCAAAAAAAAAAAAATTAGTTACCTAATATTTAACCTCTGTTACCAAAAAATAAGAGCATATTTGCTGAATGTCATTTGCTTAGAGTTTACGTTCTTCCCAGCACGATCTTGGATCATTAATCTTTTGAAATGAAAAATAATTCAATCAAAGGAGGTTGATATGTATCTAGGAATTTAATAAGAGGTCTTTTAATTCAGGTTTATTACCTAATATTTAAGACGAAGGGAATAAATGAAGAAAATCTTCTTTATTTGTCTACGTTCATCAGATTATACTTTCAAAATAGGTTTGTTGACCTAAATTAAGAATGTTCCAGAACAATCCGAAGGCCACTTAATATTTAACCAACACCATATGGTCTAATTTTTCTCCCTATTTTCCCCGTAAAAAATTGAGGTCCATTTCTCCTTGATCTTTACGGGACGTTATGCCGATATTCAGACCAAAAGAAATAATCTATTTAAAGACGCGTTTGGTACATCATTTGATTTAGACTCAGTTTATTAATTTGTTAAAGAGTCATAATCCTAGACTCTAATTTTATATTGGACAAATTCCTTTCCTTGTCTTTTCAAGGTTAATCAAAACACAAGCGTCAATCACATGTCCGAACGTTCTTGTTTTCAGACGACTGGGAGGAGCAGAATGCAATTATTTATCTTATTATCTGCAATTATTCCCTTAATTATTCATCCTCAAAGAGCCCTACTGGTTAGTAAAAGAAACAGCATTTATCTTATCTCGGTCAGATAACGCTTGATAGTGTCAAATAATTTGCAAAAAAAAACCAAAAAAAACTGATAAAACAGAATAGGCGTAAGTCATATTAAAATCAGTTTCTCAAATTGCTTGTCTTCTAAATATTAACCGCCATCAGCTTAAGGGCATAAAGATAACCAGCAGGAAACCCACAGCATGCTTTTTGTAAAACCAAAAATTTTCCAAGTCGAAAGACTCCACAGCCGAAAGATTTCTCAACTACTCCATCTCTCCTCACACATCCATGTTATGGAATTTATCATTGGAGAAAGTTTGATCACAAACCTCAAAATGCATCGTAGTGATCACTAAAGCTCCTATAACTCTTTTTACAAAATGCAAATTTTGAAATAAATATATATTTCTTCTTTTATACCTTAAGAATGTTACATAATCTTTAAAAAACGTATAAAGAATCAATAATTTAACGAAAATAATATAATGTAATATTATTAAAGAATAAGGAGGTATATAACAATAAATCCTATTAAAATGTATCCTCAGAGAATGGATACTTGCTTCATTAATATATTACACTTTATTATAATTCATTAATATATTACTATTAAAAAAAGGAGAAGGAAGTTTAATTTTGGAAGAAAAGTAAAAAGGGTTTTTAATCTTGCTCAAAAATTATTTTATGAGTATACTGTTTGATTAAATGGACATAAAAAAAGTTGATTAATGAGTATCATAATCAGCTTTTTTATCTTACACTTATAATGAATCTCACTTACAAACATTAACTCAGTGGTCCAACAGCCCATGAGGGCCAAGGCCTACTGTGCCCAACTCAGTATACACTACCTTGGGCCCTGAGGTGCATGAAAAGATGTTCCGGTCAGGAGGTCAGTCTGACGCGAAACCCAAGCGTTAAGTTCCGAAGCCAGCTTGGTGTTCATTTTATAGACCCAATGAAGGGATGAAAGTCAACCTTGCCCAGCTTGGGTTTGAACCTCGGATCTGTGGTGTATAAGCGCTGTGCAATAACCACTCAGCCACTGGGCTTCAGTTACAAACATTACAATTCCTTTATGTGGCGATGCTCTAATATCAAACAACGCAATATACTATACTATCTAAATGTTACTAATGTGATATGCACGCAATAACCTCTACAGCTCGATTTTTTTTTTTTTTTTGGAAATGAAGATTACTGGCATTATATACGATATTGTATTTTTAAATTATAGAAATTTAGATCAGTAACTACTTATTTCATCTTATATAAAGCGTTTTCCTCTTCCGTTTAATTTTTTCTTAAATATTAAACTTTCAATATTCTGAATAAATATCTCACCTTCGAACTTTTCCGTTAAGCTATTTATCTAACTGGAAAGAAATTCGAAAGCAAAAGATGACACTGAATTAAAAGAAAATTAAAAATTACTGAATCGAAAAGATTAAAATAGACACATTTATAATATCTACATTTTTCTCTCAATAGTTGAAACCATTACCACGGAGTTATGACTCTTATAAGGAAGATAAAATAAGATGCGAATGGAAATAATAAGAAAAAAAGCTTTTTTTCGCGCATTATTTATTCAAGTGTTCCTTTCATTTTGCCTCGGAAGCAAAACTAAACATCCACCATGATGGCTGCATTTAATTAAAAGGGGACCAATTTTTTTTTATTAGCGAAGAAACACAAAATTTTAGACACTGCGTACGTGAATGCAGAGTGGTGAATAAAATGCATAACTTTAAGACGCGTTCTCTCGCACAAAATATAAACTTAGTAAGTCAAAAATAATTCCTGTCTAAACAGCTGAATTTATTCTTTGAGGCCATGCTGCATAGAAACTTTCATTTTTCAATTTACCTTCAGAAGATCCTGGAGAAAAAGAAGCAATTTTTCTGAAAAGAATCAAGAGTTCCATTGAAATTACTCTTTCAATGATAAATACGGTGCAATTTATTACAAGCGATACCTATTGCATATTTTCTTGAGAAGGAAAAATAATTGTGAAATGCAGCTTTTGAAATTGAAAGTGGTTTAAATCTTCAACCTCCTTAAAATAGAAAGAGTAATCAGGAAAATTTATAGAGGAAAAATGTAAGTTAAGCTAAAACATTTTTCTTTTCGAAACAAAGTTAATCACTTATGATTCAAGGCTAAGACAGTCTTGATTTTTTTGTTTATTTATTTATATTTATTTTTCATACTTGGAAGCTAGATTATTTTAAACACGCGAACATTTAAAAAAATTATAACAGATTCGGGAATATTTGAAGAATTATTTAAATTAACTCGCCAGTTTTAATGTTTTTACTGGTTCTATACATAATAATTGATTAATAACATTTCAGTAATTTTTTTACAGCTTTGGGGACTCACTGATTATTTGTGATTCCATTTTCAATATACAGAATATATCAAAGAATTTCAAAAACTGGGTTTTTTAAAATAAAATAATAAGTAATTATATTATTTTAGGATTTTTTTTATATAAAATAAGTTTTTCTAGCTTCAGTACATTTGTTACTGTACTTCTTAACAATCTGGATTCATTTCATTCGAGTTCACTTTTCAGTTCGATAAAAACATGTTTTCAGCGTGTTTGTTGTGATTATAATTACAAAGGGCGTCTTATATAACTTACAATATCACACAGATTGCTCGTGCTAAAAATATTCAATCTTAAAAAACTTGTTTACACAAGCAAATTGCTTTACTTAACTGTGTGTGTATTACTTATTAATAATATACATAAATAAAATATAATGTTCAAAAGAATTTTGTGTTGATTTCAAACTTTTCCTTAAAGTATTCTGTGGCACCAAGAATTGCTTATATTTCCTCTAAGTATATTTAAATATTTTATTTCCTGTAACATAAATATTGCGTTAAGTTTATATTAATATTTATAATACGCAGGCAAATGCATGGACACGAAGTATTTTTTTTTTTTTTTTTGCTTTCGTCTTCCAATAGAGCATCATGTTACAAGAATTAAATTTAGCTAATATATCTATATTTAAAATTAACTTTGACACTTTAATAAATAATAACTTTCTGTCTAATGGACTGACTTCACTGATTAGACTTTTTCGCTTGAGCTAATTAGGAACGAAGTGTTTTAAAAATTTAACTTTCATCAAGTCAATGGCAAGAACATCAAATTTAAAACGCATTCTAGATGTTAAGTCATAAAATGATCTACATCTACAGTTTTAGTTTTGAAATGAGTGTCTGAGAATATGGTTCACAAAGTTATAATGACAGCTCAGCCATCTCTAATTTGCAATGGCGCGAATTTTAAATCATGGAAGAGGAAATATCTCCGCCCACTTTTTAACGCACTTGTCAATTAACATTCCTTTCTGTCGCTCTCCTGGTAACGGGATTATTTCAAACAGTCATTGCGAGATTATTTGATCGAAGGAAGCAATTCACTCAAATTCGCTAAAGTATTTCTCTTCCTAACAATTTTGTGATTTTTATCTACACTTTCCTGAAAGGCTTTTTTGGTTTCAGTCTTCTTTCAATTTCACCAAAAAGTTTATATGGATGTCATTAACTTCAAACAGCACTAAAAATAATGAATTAGACTTTTATATGCCTTAAATAATCTTATTTCTTACATTATAATCAAAATATAAGCCCATGTGTGATACATATTTAAGTGAAATTATAATGAAAACACAATCTACAAATTTCATGGCTCGTGAATTTAAAAAAAAAAGAATGTAAGAAATTTCTTAGATTTACTTTTAATTAAAATAGTGTAAAACAACCCGTGTCTTCTTTAGGGTCTTTTCAACACAATCTTAATACAACCTGCAAGTTTTAAAATAAACCAATCGATGTAATTTATCAATGGGATAATAAACTTTTTCAATATATTATTCCTTGTCTATGAACATAACTAAATTCCCTTTTTCCATTCCTACTATTATTTCCCTCTCACCCTATATTTCTATATATTGTTCAAATTTTCAATCGTTAATAAAATATTTTTTGTTCATCAATTCAAGTTCAAATACATTTTTTGAACTTTTAGTGGATGACACTTGATGCTAATACAGTTATTTCAAACATTAATTCATTAATTAAATAAAAATGAATAAATAGTAACAAACCAAAATAATAGTCCAACAGCATATATAGAAAGGAAAATCATTCGTTGTGTTTCTGTAGCGCAATGGATAGCGCGGTCGACTTCTAATCTATAGGTCGTGAATTCGAATTCCACCTGGGATGGCCTAATTTCTGAGAATGTTTTCTTTTTACTATAATAATTTATTAGAATAATAAAATTTAATTAATGAATAAATAGTAACAAAAACAAAGAACAAAATAGCCCAACACCATACATAGAAAGGAACATGGAAAATTGCAATGAAAATCCGCTTTCTATTTTCTCGCTTTATATTGGGATTCCGTCATATGTATATTTGTATTTATATTGATTGTAACTATTTAACAAAAAATAACTAAAATAAAAATTTTCTTTGTTAACCTAAGTAGGAATTGACATAAAAAAATGTGTTTATATTATTTGTCTAAATGGAAAAAAAAATAAGAAAATTATTTTGTACTAAATGAAGAGTAATTCGCGAGATGCTTCTTTATTGAAACGTTTTAACACTATCCCATAGTGTTAATTTTGCATGTGGAATTTTCAATTCCAAACTTTAAAAAAAATAATAAGCAGTATAAAACTAATTTTTCCAATGGGAAAACTAATATTTCATAAAATTTCTTCAAAACATTCTTTAAGTTAATCCTTTGTTAATACTTTCAAAGTTTTATACATTTAATCATTTACATTTATTTCAAATGCTTACCAAAAAAACTCCTATTTTTTCAATTCCTACTATTAACTCACTCTCGCTATGTATTTATATATTTATCTTGTTCAAATTTTCAATCGTTAATAAAATACTTTCTATTTATTTAATCAAGTTCAAATAATTTTTTCAAACTTGTCGGGGCACTTATTGTTAATACAGTTTTTTCAAGTATTAATTATTTAATTAAACTAAAATATATTAATTACCGGTTTTCGACATCAACTTAAATTCGTCTCCATTTTTATAACAATGTAGCTTTAAAACAATGACAAAAGTTGTCATTGAAAACCGGTTTTTCAGCCAAACTAGCCAAAACAGGTGTGCACTGTTACAACAATGCAGACACCCCAAATCGTGCTCTTTTTCAATTCCTAATATTTTAGTTCACTCTCTCCCTATATATATATCTTGTTCAAATTTTCAATCATTAATAAAATACTTTCAATTCATCCATTCAAAGTAGAAATTGAATTAAATTTTTTTATATTACTTGTTTAAATTTGTCAGTGATTAAGAAAAACACTTTTTTTTAATATTCAAATCAATTTTTAATTCTTTTTTTATAGTTCTGAAACCATTGCTAATGTTTGTAACATTAAAATATTTCAAACATTACTAATGAAAATTAATAATTACGTTCAAATACTTCCTCTTTCTTCACTGTAGTATAAAAAGTGAGAAGTATAGATAAATTAATAAGTGTGAAGTATTAGTTAAAGAAGAATATATAGGGTAGTAATAAATGTGAACCATTTAAATGTTTTCTCACAAACAACTCAGAATATACAATTTAAAAACTTAAAAAACTTATTTTCATTCAATATTGTAGGAAAAATTGCAGTTCATGGAAAATAGAACAATTAAAACGAATTATATGCCGCTTTGAAAACTGATTTAGTAATTAAATGACGCCATTCAAAACTGGGGCGTACATTTGGCTTAGCAATGGGCGTACATGTAATGAATCAGAAATGAATACACAGAGGTGTTTGAAACACACATTATATTAAAGTTGTGTCTGAAAATAGGAACTATTTTTAATTCAATTTAATTCCATTTTTTGAGTGAAACATTTGGAAAGATGGGGATATACATACCAATGAAATACCTGTGTTATTCGTACGATTCCTTTGAAGCGAAAAGATATGCTTTCCATTTATAGAAACCAGACATACTTTTTGTTACAGATTCACTAAAATTTAGTAACGCGTGCCACAGTGTGGCCCGTAGGTGTTGTGATAGCGCCATAAAAAGACTTGCTGGAAAAAATAAAATATTTGAAAATATAATATTAAATAACTTTTTGTTTTTTGGAACAATTTTAATGAGAGAGAGAGAGAGAGAGAAATGAGGTGTTTTCAAATAAGAAGTCCTCATAATTTGGATCAAAATAGGTTTGTGAATAAATATTTTCTATTATATGAACATAATAAAATAAATATCGGTCAAAACTAGCTCATATGCACTTCCAGTAACCAAATTTTGGTAGCATCTTCAAAAGCAATCCTGTTCCATATGACTTTGTAAAAAAAGTAGAATTTATAAAGCCACAAAGATACCGATTATATATTAATTATTTAAAATTAAATGATCCAGGTTGCTTGTTTTTTTATTGCCTAATAAAACTATAACTTATACAGACTTAACAAAAGTTATTTAAGTAAACTTAAAAAAACTTATAAAAAGTTTATTAACAATAAAATCTAAGTTTGTAGTTTGTCTTTTTTACTATAGTATTTTTAAATTTCGAGTACATACATAGGCATTACACATTGAAAAGCCCATTTGCACTAAAAACAACTCATTTGCATTGAAAATGGTCTCCATTTGCGTAAATTTTCCATGATAAACCCCTGTATGTAACATTGTTTCCACTTTTTTATATTTATTTCGTATCCTGAAAAAGTTAGTGGCACGCATAGTTTTCATTATTTTCTTTAATCAAATTATGGCATTTTTCTCAAAAAGGTCGGATACCCGTTTTATAGTGCAAGCACGAGTTCCTAATGAAAATGATTTCTGTTGGATATTCCTATCTTGTTGCGTGCAGTGGCAATTCTTGTTGTGGATATGTGTGCTCGTTCAAGACATAGTCTGCGCGTGACCAATAAAAATGGCACAGGAAATATGAAAATTGTAATTTGACTCAGACTCAATATAACCATTGTTATCTCGAGAGCTGTCTGTTCATTATTTGGTATAATTTAATTCACTTCTCCAATGTCTGCTTTCATCACTAAGAAGATTTTTCAAGAACACACGCAGTGATACATTTTCCTAACAATTCATATTGTATTAAAATAAAACTCGTAGAAAAAAGAAACATTTTTTTTATGAATCCGCTTATGTGTTATACCTATTTATGCGTCATCAGGACTTGAAGAAAGAACTGTAATAAATAATCAAATAACTAAGGATTTTACAACACACTCACGAGGCAGATTTCAACCCCTTTTATAGTGCCCTGTTTGTTTGTCATTCGACAATTTGTTTCAAATAATTGTTTTTCCAATCTGGATGAGATAAACGGGTTTTGCGAAATAATTTCCGGAGGTCACCTATAGAATAAGCTTAAAAAAAGAATCATAATTGTGGTGGATCGACATCAAATTTGAAAAACATTCGTTCTTTTCTCACTACGACATTGATTGTTTTAGATTTTATATTAAAATTTGAATTTACTTTCTGAAATATTATAATGAAAACCTCATTCTCAAAAACTGAATATACTTTTTTATTGTAAAAATACATCCCTTCAATGAATATTTTTAAAATTTTGTAAGTGTATTTTTTAGTTGGAAGCTGACTTTCATTGTGGACAATAACATCAAGTTTTTCAGAAATGCCTTGAAATATCTTTTTATAATTGTTGCACTTTTTCAGTATTAAAATATTTCGTTTAGATTATTTTTTCATTTTTTTGTATATATTTATAATATATTTTTCCAGTTGTTTATTTCAGTTATTTTTAATCGTGAAGAAATTTAAAGAAAAACAGAACAAAAATGTTATTTCTGATTTTTTAGATCTCTGCCTTCATATCTAAAATGATTATTGCATACTTCACAGTACAATTATTCTAAAAATTAAAAGAAAAGTATATGAATAAGCATTATTTTACACTCTTTGCAATTTGTTTAATATTACAAAGTTTCTTATAGGAATCATATAAAATGAAGAAGCGTCATTTAGGGATAGGGAGGCAAAGAGCAGGCGTTGAAAATAACTTTCCCTTTTTAAATTCAAACACTACTTTCACATCAGTGAGCATAGATTTCTATGATTAATATGTGTTGTTCCTCTATACTGTTTATCATGTTAGGTACAGGAATTCATTAAAAAGTTTAAGATCAATAAATCTCCTGGATTATATTTATTACAAATGACCTCCTTATAAAAATCTCTCCCTCATGTTAAATCTTTTTATTATCATGCTGGAACTGTCAGTTCCCTAAGAATTAGATCTCGTTACTCAGTAGCTTGAGCAAAGCGTAAGAACTTGTTTTTTAAATCGCTTTAATCAGCTCTGCACTGCGAGGAATATTATTATTCCTAAACATAATGAGTTTGTAACACAATATTCAGCAAAAACCCAGTTACTTAGAGTTACTGAGCTAATTCATCACAGGTTTCAAAATATCCAAACCACAGGGACGTTTTTTCTGAAAATAGCCAAAGCCTTTGTCAAAATTTGGCGTGATGGCTTGATATCCAAGATGATGCAAATTGAATTTTTGGACCAACTCATCAAAATTATAAACTCTTACCTAAACTCTCGTGAACCTAGAGTAAGAGTTGAAAACAGTCTCTCTCCCCACCCCCTTCATTTCTGAGTGGAGTGCCCCAAGGATATTTATTAGGGCCCAAGCTCTTTAATCTGTACATCACTAACATTCCGAAGGCTGCCGAAGTCCACTTACGTGGACGCTACTGCAATTTTCACTGAAAACATTTGTAAGCGTAAAATCCTTGACAGGCTACAAAACTATTTCATTCGACACCAAATCTAGTTTAACGACTGGAAAATCAAGATAAAAAGATCTAAAAGCACATGCTTCCTCTTTAAGAGACAACAGTGAACTGGTAACCTTGTAATGGATGAACTATATCATCCCTTAGTGCGGGAGTGTCGGAAGGGAGTTCAGACATATTCAAAAATAACTTCAATCTCTCTTAACTCAAAATTTTAACATTTATATACAAGTCTTACGTACTCACATCTTCTTCTTCAAAGGAAAGCTTTCCATAGATTAAATTTTAAAGATCCACAGTTTTCCCTAAGGGGACTGTTAGTAAGATGAACCCGAATAGACCCGTGACAACCTCCCACAAGGTCAACATTTTTTATCAGCCCGTTTCCCGGGTTACTGAATGTAATTACCTAGGGTTATTACTTGACACGCTAAA